TCCTTGGAAGAAATTTCTGTATCTGTACTTTAAGTACTTGTAAGTTTTCTCATACAAAATTTTATTTGCCACAGAATTGGACATGAAGGTGCATGGTGAGTAATTAATTTATTGGAAGCTTTCAGTGAGTGATCCAATTTGCAGCTGACCCGAGCACAGCTTTTCTGTTGTGAGGAAGGGAGTTGCCTTGCGGAAGAACCTTTCCTTTGGAAAAATATCCCAATAAACACGAGGATGACGCACTAGAGGTGTAAAGGTAATCTTTGTCCTCACATTTATGAACTACACAGTTTGATTTTAAGCTGTAAAATTTTTTCACTGTACTGTGTAAAAGGTTAGGAAACTGTAGAACTGTCAGGGGTCTTAGAAAATTATGATGGTGGAGTAGATGGACAAAGCTGATGCAGGGGGGTTTGAAGGCAGATACGTATTTCGTGATAGTGACCCACTTCTTTAGAATTTTGAGAATGGCAATAAATGTGGCCTTTTTTTCTTTTTTTTTTTTTTTTTTTTTAACCTAATGTGCCACTGAGCCTAGAAGTATAAGCAGTTACTGTCTTTGGAGACTTGGGAACAAGAAAACTGTCTTTTAAAGCTTGTTAATTTTTCAGAGCAGAGTTCTATTGTTGTAGAACTATTTGAGGCCTCTGTACAGAGCTTTTAGTTAGCAAGGGGCAAAGGACAGGGTGAGGAAAATGTTAGAAGTTTACTGTATTCAAAATGGCACTGAGGTTAAACTTGTGATCACCTGCTCAGTATGATTTGATGCGTTTAATGCCAATGTTGAGTTTGACTTTTTATTTTTACTGAATAGATGGCAGAGTCATCCTAATAAATAAAATTGCCTCTTTTCTAGCTGAAGTGTTGAAATAACTTTACTCAGATAAAATCGTTCTTGTGGCGAACAGAAGGTGATTCAGAGAACTACACCTGTGCTGATCTCATAACAAAGCTAATTAATCTTTTTAAATTAAATGCCCCTCAAAATTCAGCCTGATAAAGACTGAAGGATTTTTTTTCACTGCTCTGACAAAGAAAACTTTTACTGTGTGTTTTCTTTCATGGAAATGAGTAAGCGGAGCTGCCCTGGATGGTGATCATTTGTTTATATACTACGGCTGCAGAAAATGAGAAATTAAATGAACAATTGACAGATGCACTGAGAAATGAATGCTTGGGACAGCACAGAAATGTAACTTGCATGTTAATTTGCCAACATCAGGCTCTATTTTATGTGTGCCAGTGTCTGAACTCTCTGGAAACTAGGAAATGTGGCGACAGAGGAGTACATGCAGGTTGCTGCTGGTTTACCTCTTGGCTTTGCAAGTAAAAGCAAGAGCTTTTCGGGCTTATGGTGGTTCTTTTTCACAGCAGGCAATTGTATAGGAAGATGAGGTCAGGCAGCTGCAATATTGATCAGACTATCTTCTTGTCAACCTTGTTCATGGCAACCTTGTGGAGCTTAGGGTAAATGGAGTATTAGGGCTATAGAAAAGGAACAAAAGGAAGGTTACCGCTGGCCCTTCTTGGCAGATATAGCTGGAAGCCTTTAAGAACAGCTTCTGTTGTCATGGAGCTTCTGAATCCGAGGCTGGTTTCTGGCACTGTCATTTTCTCATGGCAAAAAATGTTGTCCTGTCCTAGCCTTGGGGGGGAAATAAATAAATAAAAGCAGTAGCCTTGGCAGCACTTGTCTCTTTATTGCAGCTAAATGACTGAACTGCAGTGGGAATGGGGCCAAGGGGAAACCTTTTCTTCACAGAGAATCCTGAGTTTTAAAGCTGGCATCCACCATGGTCTTCAAAATACCTTTTATAAGAAGGCGTTTGACATTTAGAGAAGGATTTTGAATAGTGTATATAGAACTTGCTTTCCTCTGAGTCAGTGATGTTTTGAGGTTGAAATAGAGACCTGAATTCCTGATCTCAAGGTTTTTGGAAGGTTTTACAGTAGTGGTTGGTTTGTGTTTTAAAGCCCATTTTCCTCTTCTAAATTTCAGATATAGTGAAACTCTTTAACACATTTCCTGAAGTGATCAGTAACGTACAAACCAAGATATTTATTAATTTATTTGGCATTGATTATGTTAGCTTAACACTACGTTGCTTTGCTGAGCTTTTTCCTATCTTCAAAGGTGATATTTTGATTGCACAGAAATATTCATGCTTGACTTTATGGACAAAAAGTATACTTCCTGATGAGATACTTTTTTATTCTTGGATAGTTGCAGTGACTGAAGTTTAAAAACTTGCATGGTTTTACTTTTGTTTTGTGAATTTACTGAAACCTAGAAACAAGTGATGACAGAAGCGGTTTGGTGTTTCCAAAGCAGGAAAGCAGTGAGCTGGTGTGCTTTTATTTCTACATGACTGATTTTTAAAGGCAGGAAAGGATGATTACCCCATGTCAGAAAGCACCTGCAGGTAAGATTTTCTGCTAGAGATGTGTAAACTCTTTGGGCTGAAGAATTTTCCCTTCAGGTCCTTTCTTGAGTCAGCTCTGTTTTGATACTGCCTGATTACTGTTATTTGAAAAGTTTCAGGCAGCTAGTGAATAATACCTCTGCATATTAAGTATCACATAGTAATTTCTCTTGCTTCACCTGCCTGTTTGTGTTTTGTCTGCCCACACTAGTGGCTGTTGGGTCAAGCATCGGAGCTCTCACGGGCAAGTTCAGATTGGCTTTAGTGGCAGGGCCCCAGGGTAGGATGTTGCAACTGCTGTGACTCTGCTGTTAGAAGCTAGCAGCCCCAGAGCAGAATTATTTTCTCTCCTTCTGGTGTTTCAGGCTGCCCGCAAAGAGGGATCTGTGTTGAGGCACTAAGGCGAGCAGGAGCACGCGGGTGTTCGGCTCGGCAAAGTCTGCGTTGGGCCAGTGGCCTCGAGCAGGGGTGTAATGGCACCTCGGGGCTGCTGCGGCTTTTCCTCAGCAAAGGAGAGTCAGAGCCCTGTCATTTCAGGGTTGGTTTGCACAAGGGAGGGAGCCCTCGTCCTTGGGAGTAGCCATGGGTCTGCAAGTATAATTGTCAGATAATAAAGGGGCCCTGGGAGCCAAAACATGGAGTTTGGAGAACAGCCTTTGGGGCCCTTGAGCATTCTCTTCTACAAGTCCTTGGATGGTAGAGTTGTAAACACCATCCATCCATGCAGGACTGTGTTTTGTTTTGTTTTTTTTTGTTTTACTCCTTAAAGCATCATAAAACTCCAAAAGAAGACAGACTTCTTCCAGCATTGCCGCTGCAGTCTTGCACTGTGTTATTTGTTCTTTCTATACAAACCCTTAAAAACATTACTAAAGTGTGTGTAGGTTTATGGCTATTAATTGGTGCCACAAACATAAAAATCAGAAAATTCTGAATGTTGAAAGTTTATATTTAAATATTATCTTGATTAATACTACTTTGAGGTTCTTTTTACCTTGAAATTAATGCTAAAAGATGATGAGTTCTTGGTTATGTCAGTCTGGAGTGTTTATCTGCTAGTGAGTGAAACTTTTCTGTAGATGCCCATCTTCTCAATTTAATAACATGTATTTCAAAATCTATCTCTTGACATTATCAAGACCGTAATAAAATTTTGATTTTGTAAATCTGTAAGACTGTATGAAAATTCAGGAACTGTAACTATGGGAGGTATGAAGGGGTGTGCTTTATTTCAGCATTAGGAGAATTTAGGACAGATTTTTGACAGTACTAAAGATTGTTATTGTAGCATGTTTTCGTTAATTTTTTACTCATAAAACTAATTTCTTAATTATTAGAAAATTAATTCCGTCTTTGAAATTCTGCACTTCTGAAGATGCTGCACTATATTTTTTTATAACAACAAAGTGGCTGAATTGCTGCTTTAATTTCAAATTTTGCCTTTAGTTACAAAATAGTACATAGTTCTTCCAAAACTGTTATAACAGTCCCAGAGTGGGGGCGGGGGGAAGGAGGGGAAAGAAGTGTGGATCTGATCGTGGACACCATAACTTAGGCCTCTTCCTTTAAACTTTGCTTATGAGAGAAAGGTTTTATTTTCCAGGAAGGAAGAAGATAGCTTCCACGCAGTTTCCCATGTACTCGTCAGGCAGATTTTAGTTTGCTGTGATGCTAGGTGTGTGTTTGAAGGACTATAGTGATAGGAAGGTGGGAATGGTGGCTGAAGCCAGTGAGTCTTCCTGGAAGGTCAGTTGAAGGCTTCAGTTAGAAACTTGGCACTTTCTTTCTCAATACAGTTGTTTGCTAAGCTGGGGTGAATACTTTTCATGACCAGCTTTGTTCTTCAAGAGGACGACTAGTGCCCATGGTAGGTTGAGAACCTGTACACCAGTCCCAGTACAAAGCACACTGCCAGTGGTTGGAGTGCTGGAGAGCGTCTGGGGGAAAGGACTGGCAAGCTGGAAAGGACACAGCATGGACATGCAGCACTGATGGTACTTGGCTTTCTGCTACGGTAAACCCAAACCTGCATCATGAACCCCAGTCTTTGTTAAAGAGGTTTGCTTTCCCTAAAGTTTGTATCGGAGAACTTGCCCAGTGCCCAAGACTGGAGAGCAGAACAACATCTAGGTGGTTAAGTGTAAGAATTTAACCCTGACATAGACTGATGGTAGCATGTTGAGGGGGATCCCTTTAAAAAAATGGTCCCTATAGGTATAAAGAACAGTTCTGATCCAGGGTGGCCCTACATGTGCATGCACAGAGGTTGGGGTAGGAAGTGGAAATGAAGCATGTGAGATCTGCAGTCGCACTTGAAGGATCAAAAAAAATGATGAGAACTTCAGTCAAGGTGCAGTTACTGCTTATATGAGTTTTTCCCCCTCTGTCTTGGTGCAATTTCTTTTACAGCCAAACAGATGTTCCCTCGGAGCCCTTTGGACTTGATTGTTCTTCTTTCTCTGCCTGACAAAGAAGGTGGATTTACTCTGAAGAAATATTTCCATGGCAGCCACTTAGAAAATTGTTCCTATGTTCTTCTGTTACAACTTTTTTTTTTTTTCCTGTTTTGTTTTATAGACACAGATGAAGACACGGTGAAAAGGTGCTTTGCCACGTTTGAAGAGAAGTTCTTTCAAACCTGTGAGAAAGAACTTGCCAAAATCAACATTTTCTATTCAGGTAAGGTGCTTATTTGTGTATATTTGTGGAAGACACAGCAGCACAAAAAGAGTCTGAAGCTCCCAAACTTTCAGAATAACCACAGTAGTCATGCAGGTCTACCATCAGTTAATTATAGGGCAGGTTTATATGGGAAATTGCTCTTTTTTTATTCACAGATGTGGAGCTATACCATGGTATTTGAGTGGAGGGAAAATGAAGGGCAGGTGATTCCATTGCTTTGCAATAGCATCCTGCCTAACTTTAGGAAGATGCTCTTAAACTTAAGTGGTAGTTTACATATAGGGCATAGTTTCTCAGATTATCCATGGTCACAGTCTCTTGTGCATGTTTTAGGTGTGCTAAGCTCCCTAGCTGGTGTTTCCTGAGCTTGTGCAGGAATAGCTATCATGGACTTGCCTCTGCATGGTAACTTCACCGTTCTGATGTGTCTGAGTTTTTAAACACTTAACTCTTATTCCAGAAGGTTGCAAGAGTTTAAGTAGATCAGCCAGTAGCATTTTGTCATTGGCTGTGTATAAAATCCTGTTTAGTAAATTGAGCAAAACTGCAATGGTGGCAAGAGTAGGGATTCCTGTGGTTCATATGCCAAAGTGCTATTCTCCCTAAGAAAGTTTGCTTTCCCATCCTGTGTTTTGAAAATCAACTTTAGGATGGGATAACTGGAAATTCACCCAGTAACACTGCTACAAAAGGCTTAGTAATACTGTGCTCCAGTTCCACCCACGGTTACACTTCATCTGGTTTTCAGCCTCTTCTGGTAAGGTTTAAAATGGGCTTTCAACTAGAAAAGCGTTTAAATATGGATACAGTGATGCATTGACTTCTGCTATGCTTTCTCTTAACATGTTGATTTATTAACTTGGTGCTATAAACAGGCTTTTGCAGCACAATATGGTAGCCTCTTCTATTTCTGATTTTAATCTGGTAACAAAGACCAAGTTGAATTGTGCAAAATATTTTAATAACCATCAGGCGATGACTTTATTGCTAGCTGTTTTATTGCTAGCAGAATCTGGGTTGTGAGCATGAGAATAGCTGAAAACATGATAGCTGCAGTAACTGCACTGCAGCTCACCCCTGTTCAGCTTCCATCTAGGGAAGTAAATCTCTTTTGGGCCAGCCGTGCCTGCTCTTCTGGCTTCTGGAGCAGTGGTGTTTTGCTCTAGCCAGAGTGGGTGTCAGGACACGGGCAAGGGGCATTTTATAGCTAGAAGTGATATATTTTATTAGATCAGCTGGACTTTACACTTTGTAGGCATTTTTCCACATACAATTCATACGGACCTAGCTCAGAACAATTGTTCTGTGTTGTTTCCCTGTGAGATCTTCTGTTTCTATCACAATTCTGAGGTAAGGCTTTTATGCTCAGAAACTTGTCTTTTCTAGTTATGTTAGATCCTGTGTACTACAAGCTAGACTCTGTGGAGGAAGTTCTGTCAATTTAGATGCACAATACAGATTATAATTTTCCCTAATGAGGCCCTGCTAGCACACATGCACCCACATATGCGCACCCATTCCAGCATTATTTAAAATGGCATTAATAATACAGGGTGGGGTTTTTTCAACTTGCTGTCATTTCAGAAAGTTATAGGAGAGAATACATGTAATTTGAAAATCTCTTGTGATAAGATTAAACTAAGTCTCTTATTTGCAGAAGAGTGATGTGACTTTAATAGGATGGAAACCCTTTATTAGGGTTGTTAACGTTAAGCTACATCAAGAAATGTTCCATCAGTGGTTCCTCTTCTTGATCATGTCAGAATTTGTCATGTCAGACCCTATTGTAACTCCAGGCATGTGTTGGTTTGGATTATGACCCGCTGCATCCTATTTATTATAGATTTATTATATGGCTTATTACACACTTGTCTTTACAACAATAAATATTGTCCATTTTCAAGAAAGCAAAGCTTTCTGTTGATTTCTGCTTCATTTCCTCGTTGTCTTTCCCTGCACTGAGGGATCCTCAGTGGGCATTGCCAGGGATTGCTGCAGCATGGGCAGCCCCATCCTTGGGATGGGCTGTTCGCGGTCCCCAGCTCCTGCCTGGCTCCCCGCAGCCCTCCGAGTTGGAGTGCCTTTGTCTTTGCCTGTCACTGTGTGCTCAGGTTGTCGGCTCTCATCAACCGTAGCCTTAATTCCCCAGATCATTATCCCAGCTTGGTAGGAAGGAAAAGTGTCATTAACTAAATCTGATTTGATAAAGAGGTTGTGATCGTTTGGACTACGCTCAAGAAAATCTATACTCAGTTGAAAAAAAAAAAAAAAAAAAAAAAAGAATAAGAGTGAAATTTTCAGATGGTTCCAGTAGAGGAATGCCTGTTCAAGTGCTGAAGTTTTATTTGTGGCCAGTTTTGGTTTGTGTTTGGGATTTTCTAGAGGAGAGGTTTATTATATTTTAAATCAGCATCATCAGGATCTGCTTGGGCTACTGTTTAGCCAGTAACATTTTTGTGGTTAATTTAGGACCTGGTTTTATTATTTGTAGGAAGCCGTGGCTTTAACTTGGTAATCAAAACATTGAACATAATATGTACTAGTAGGAAAAAGGAGGAGTGCTGAAAGAACCTGTCTGAAATGCCCAGCGCTCTGAGCCGGGTAGCTGAGAGGAGGAGGTATAGGCTATTTGATTACCTCCTGCCTGGTGAAATGGGTTTTGATCACAATGTAAACTGGAACTTGTCAGTGAAATTTTACTAGCTTCTTGGTGTGATAGGTTTTATTCATGATCCTTATGTGTGAACTTTAAAGAAAAGTTGGAAAACAGAATTGAAAACAGCTCGGAATTGTGTAGTTGAGGTGTGCTAAGTCTTTAGATGGTGGTTTTAAGTCAGAATCTAGAAGAGTTTTGGGGGCAAAGCTGCTTTTTTATTGCAAGCACTTTTGTTGAAGTCTGACTCTCTTGGGTTTAGATTTCTCCCTAGTCTTTGCCATGAGATTACACTTGATCTGAAGACTCAGTGGGCATCAGGTCATGCACAGTGCTGCAATACAACGAGAGTCATTCCAGTTTCCAAGTGTATGCTGTTTTTTTCTAACTCTTTTGAGTGGCATAATTTTTTTTTAAAGTCACTTTTTGGAGTGCTAAATTAGTGGTAGTGGTGAATGTCTTTTCAATTATTTTGGGGTATGTTGCTAACCGAGAAATTAATTTCCACTCTGCTTTGCCGTTTCCCTAGGCAATACCCTAGGAGGTTTTAAGAATAGCAGTACGCGTTTTGTCTTATTTTGATTCTACAGTGAATCATGATGATAAAATCATACCTTGACAAGGTGAAATGATTTGTGGACTGGATAATTGGAGTCAGTGCAAGAGAGGGGGCAGGAGGGAGAAGGTGGCGGGACGGCCGCTTCTCAGGAGCAGCATGTCATTATGGGACTGGCTCAGTTGCCTTCAAAGCCTCATCCATAGGGAACTGCGGTCCTCCCCTATAGATGGAGAGGGCTGTATAGAAGATAGCACATGCCTCTTGTCAGCAGTGCATAATTAAGAAGAAAGTTTGCATTTGAAGATGATGCTTTTTTTGTGGACGTTGATTTGCAAACAGATAGGAAAATTGCAGCAGGAGTTTTATAACTGTTTCAAAGCATTGTCTGTTCTTTAAATATTATGTTATTAATATTTAGGCTGTTGGATTTTAAGATTTTTCTGGACATGGTGACAATGAAACAGTGCTTTCAGTTGAAAGATATAAATTTAAACTCTTCCATATTTAATAATTTGATCCAAAAGAAATCTGTGTATCACAGATGGTTTAATAAGACATTTTGAATATAGAGAGTGAACTTGTGAGTTTTATTTATATGAAGGCTTTCTAACAGCTACTCTAACAGATATCTCTTACTTCATCCAAACAGAGTTCCCAAAGTGTGGAGAGATTATTGTTTTTGCAGTTTGACCTTGTGTGTGTTAAATATTATGTGGTTGTAGGCTGTGGGCAGACAGTTGTCACTGTGGGCTGTGTTGCCTCCGTTCAGTGGAGTCCTTGCAGCTGTAGAAGTTGTCAGAGAGTTTTCCTTTCCTGTATTTTTAAAATCTCTTACTTTAATAAAGTGCATTATCAAGAAAGTTATAGAGAGTTTCAGGCTCTTCAGTACTTGATTTTTCAATATTGATCCCCATTTTCTGTTCAGAAAGGCATTCTTCTTCAGGAAAATATCTTCTGCAGAGCACTGTGAAATTATTTACAGAGAAGTTTTGCTCTTAAAATTAACTGGAATTGAAGTTGACTGCAGAAAAGGTCAGCATTGCTCCCATAAATCTTACTTGTGGGGCGGGGAGCAACTGAGAATTACCATGAAGTTATGGAGGATATTAATGAAGAGAATTAAGTTGACAGCCAGGAGACTGTCGGTCAGAGCTTTGGGTCGTGGAGGGACCTTGGTGGTGCTTGTCCAGCTGGGTGGAGGTGGCTCCAGCTCCCAGCCCTCTGCTCCAGCCCAGGGAACCTGCTGGGTGTCTCCCTGGCCCAGGCCAGCATTGCCCCTGGTCTGCGGTGATGCTTATCAACAGAGATGCCAAAGCTGTGACTGAGGCCACAGGGCAGGGAGGGCAGAAAAAGCCTGGAAGGAACTAGTTGTACAGAACAAAGAGAAAGATAATGGTGTCAGTTACGCTGGTTTTAGCATAAGGTGGTTGTTTAGGCAAAAAGATTATTTTCTGAAAGTACGAAAAGCAGCATGTTTAAACAAACACCTTTTTCATACTTGAGATGTGAGCAAGAGAGACTGACTTGTTCTGAAAATCCAGGTTGACTGTTCCTTTAATCAGTAAATAATGAGGCAGCGCTTCTAACCTGCGTGAGCCTAAACTGAGGAAAAGAGGAATCAATTATTACAGCAAAATTATTACAGTGGATCACGGAGAGCAGCTAGTAGTGTTGTAACTCCTGATCAAAGCAGAAGCTGTGTTTGTCTGTCACCGGGAGCTTGGCAGAGGGGTTGCATTGCTCTGAGCTCCAAAATTCAGCTTCACATTTGAAGTGTGGTGTGTTTTTTTGTTGTTTTGTTTTTTTGTTTGGTTTTTTTTTGTTGTTGTTGTTTTGTTTTGTTTTGTTTTTGTTGTTGTTGTTGTTTTTGTTTTGTTTTGTTTTGTTTTTTACGTTTTATTTCCTTACTGTCATATAAAAAGATAGTAAACACGTAGTCAGTAGTGGGTGCACAGATATGAGAAGCGCTTTGCTTACCAACTGTCACGTTTCATAATATTGTCTAACAGGCTGGTTGTTTTTTTTTTTTCCCCTAATGCTTTCTGTGCATTTGCTTCGTTTGCGAAAGGCGAGCGGCTTCCCTTTGCGCGCAGAGCAGACGCGTGGTCACTGCTTTGGTATCTGGATGAGCCCCTATCTGCCTGGCTGCCTCCAGCCGTGGCTCTGCCAGCCTGGGGAGGCCCGGCCCTGCCTCCCTGTGCTGGTTTATGGCCCCTCGGTACCGGCGGTGGCTGTGCAGGTTGGGCATCTTCCATCTGTAAGAGGTGCCCGTGCGGTCCTTGGAATGAGCATCCCCTAGAAATCAGATCAGGGGTGGAAGCCGAGAGGTCCCTGTTCACATCTAATGCTGTTTTCATCTGTGCTGAAAGGACAGCCCCGTGATTTTAACTATATTAATTAAGACCTGTCTGACGTGACGCCTTTTTTTTTGTAGAATGTGTATGTTTTACATACGAGTGCATTAAAACCTTTAACAGAGGAGGAGCTTCATAAAAGAGAAATACATGGAGTTGTTGAATTTAATGCTTAGCAGGAGAAGGCCATGCAATAAGTTACTCAATGCAGCACTTTTTCCCTACAGCCGTTATTTGAGGAGAAGGTATACTGCATTTTATGGGCTCAATAGGCAAGTTTCTATCCTCTCATTTGACTTTTTCCCTTTCCTTGCTAACAGAAAAGCTTGCAGAAGCTCAGCGCAGGTTTACTACTCTTCGGACTGAGTTACAGTCAACTTTGGATGCACAGAAAGAAGCCAGTGGGGCTTCCACGCTGCAGCGGCGCAGAAAGCCAGTCTTCCACCTGTCCCACGAAGAGCGTGTCCAGCATAGGAATATCAAAGATCTGAAATTGGCCTTCAGCGAGCTCTACCTCAGCCTCATCTTACTGCAGAACTATCAGGTACCTGCAAAAAGAGGTGGTTTTACAAAGCCCTGTTTGTAAAGGTCTCTGCTTTGTGTATCCTTGAGTTGCGTCATTCAGACAGGTATGCAAAAATTCAGAAAAAGCTGTCTTTTTTATTCCTTTTTTTTTTTTTTTTTTTTTTTTTTTATTCTGAGGTCCCTAAACATTTTTAAAGAAAAGGCAGGTGCCTAGCAGCTAGCAGCCCATGTCTTGTTGCTTTTTGTTGAGCTGGAAATGCTAAGCTGACCTGCAGAAGGACCTTCCTTCTTCCTTTCCTGGGCTGGCTGACCCCAGCACCCTTGGCCCAGGCATGGCCAGAACATGAAGTCACATTGGGACCTCCTTCTTCTGCAGCATGTTATTATGTGCGGGGCTGGAGCTGGCAAGTTGGAGAAGCAGCTCTTTTATCTAATATTTGTAATAAAACTTGAAATGCTAATGCACTGCTTCCTCTTGGCGTTACCATGGTAGTGGCTGTGACCTTGCTATATCAGAATTTCTTGTTAAAACATCCATTTAAAAAAAAATGTTTTTAATTCTGTAGGATACAATCTCATTTGCCTTGAAGTATGAAAAAAAACAAATCTTCAGTTGAACTTGGATTTCTGGCCTGAAAGGGCATGGTAAATATTGTAGATGCTGATTTTGTTCCAAAAATCTTGAAACAAAAATCTGAAACTGTTAAGATCTTTTTTTTTGCTGGGCTAGCTCTTTTGGTGTTAAATACTCTGAAATGCTTTTAAATGTCTTACTGTGAGGGTTTTAAGCGTGTTTAAATAAGAGTGTTTGAACTTAAATTTACTACATCTGTATTTAGATCTTTACCAGCATTGTACTGGAGAATTTTACTAAACAAAATTCATCATAAGAATTAATCGGATGCTGCTCTGCAGTATGGACAAAACTTAATTCTTCCAAAATTCTGAGTGTCTGTACCTCTCCTGAAGTGATGTTATGTCTTTGAGTATGTGTCCAGAAACTATTTATGAGTTTCTCAGTAAAGCCCTTTAACTATCAGAAGTAGTTTCTAGTTCAAAATTCAGGGAATGGTAGAGTATCTGTAGCTTTTCAGGAATGGACCGAAGCAATATTACCTGCTGTGATTTCTTCACTTTTTTTTTTTTTTTATTAAAAAAAAAAAAAAGGCAAGCTCTTACTCTTAGTTACAAAAGAAAACACTTCTGAGGCTTGATGAAGAATATAAATACAAGATGACATAGACCATTCCTTTTGAAAAATCTTTTCCTACTACTCATCAGTGAAGGAATGCATCTTGCACACTTAAATTTTTGTTTTGTGCTGCCATGAGTCCAGGTCCATTGTATGTATACTAAATATTGACGTAAAACCCATCTGGATTTGATGGCTTCCATAGTTTCCAAAAGGAGCGGAGCTTCTTTACACAACATATCTTCAAAGAGACAAAGAAAAATTAGTTCAAATTGATTTTGAAGTTGAGGACAAGAAATCCAAGTACTAAAGCAGACAAAACCAAATCTCAGAATACTACTCTTAATCACTTTTGAGCTTAGAATATAAGAACTAGGAATATTCAAGCCCTTGCAGTTTTGGAGAGGAAAAACAATAATCTGGTGGGATGATGATGTACCTGAGGCCTTCATGTAGGAGGTGAAGTCAACAGTGGCATTATAAATATCAAACTATGGCTTTGGTGAAATGCTGAAGCCTTGAGTTGGGTTACTAAGAAAGGAAAATCCACGTGGAGCAAATTCCTCGGTCTGATAGAACTGAAGCAAGAGCAAAAGTTGCATGTGTTCATTGCTGAAGTACACAAACCAAACATCAGGTGAGACTATAGCTAGTCTCCAGCTGTTACTTGTTTAATTTTCCAGTGATTAAACTTCTGATGAAATTAATGTATTGTTAACAGTAATATATCATTCTAGAGTGTGTACATATAAAAATGAATCTATTTGAAATTCTGTGTTTTAGAGCAAACATATCTTGATAAATTAAGTATATGTTATTTACCTACATATACTGTATATAATATAGGACATTCATCAGGCAAATCATGGGGGGCTGAATCAGTCTTATTAAACTTCTGTGCATTTGCCTTGCTGGTGCATTGCCTAATAGGCTTGCATATGAGCAAAGATTTTTGAGTCCAGTGTTTGATTCTACTTGATCTTGCATTATATTATTGCGTAAGTTGTACTGTTTGTTTTTTTTTCACCTTTAATGACAAAACATTCCATTAGTTTGATTCACTCCAATGGATTCAATTAGTATCCTGCAGAAATGAGAGTCAGGCTTGGAAAGAGCCCCTTGCCAAATAAAAGCATCACGAACAGCAAAACATCTGACTGCATAAATGATGTCTGACTGTTCTGTTTCGCAGTTCCATCCCTGCGTGTTTCTTGTCAGAATTACCACTGTAACCAACAGTGGCTGTATGTACTTTGGGGATGCAGAATTTTTGCAGCCAGGGGATGAAGCGCTGCTGGAGAGGTTCTAGGGTGTCTGGGGTAACCATGCCCCGACTGGTCACGGCACACCAGAGTTAGGCTGTGATGGCACACGTGGCAGATAAAGTGATGCTAGTTCAGGTTACAGAAAAATCTCTGACCAAAATCATCATTTTGTTGCAATTTTTCATTTCAAATTCCTGAAATGGTGATCTGCTTTCCCTGGGGTAGAATGCTGGCTTTTCCAATAGAAAGTAATTAAAGTCTCTTGTCTGCAATAATGCAGATCGTTAATGCATTGGCTTCCTGCTTCTGTCTCCCAAGCCTCATTTCCCCACCTATATGGTAGGGGTCTGGTATTAAATCACTCTAAGTATAATTAGATTGAAAATAATTTCAGTGAGTAGTTGGCGCCTCTCCTCAGGGCATTGGAATCAGCTGTTTTCTCTGGTTTTCTTTCCAAGCTACTTTCTAAGCTTTTCCAGAAGTGAATCTTGCCATGGTCTGTCTGCATTCCTGCTGTTGCTTGAATGAAACGTTGAGTTTTTTGAGTGGTGTTTCCTGTATAATGAAATGCAGGATTTCAAATGCATCTTGTCACAGCAATTACCTGCAGTGTGATGGGCTTTGCCTATCTTAGTTACTGTGCATTAGAAGAGTGTTGGGTCAGGGCTCATATATAACTTGGAAATCAACCCTTAATTCTTGGTTAAAGGCAGCATCATTTGCTTATCTCTACAGACTAGAGAGTTACATCTCCCACATCTGCAAGCCTAAACTAGTTTTGCAGTCACTGTGTAATGTATTCTGTGGAAAAGGATGCAGCTGTGGGGATGCACTAGTCTGGATTTAATCTTCCGCATTTAAAACTTTCATACAAGCATTTCCCTTCTAGAATACGCTTATTTGGAGAACTTGATTTGAAACCAGTATAGAGTTTAAAGAAAGTAGAAGTCAGTAGCCTGGCCTTTTCAGAAGGGAAAACCCCTTGAAGGACTTGTAACAACTGCGGGATTTGGGACAAAACGCAGCCTTCCTGCAGGTTTATATATATATATGTGTGTGTGTGTGTGTGTGTGTGTGTTAAGAGCTCATTACAACTACAGCTAATCCGGAGACCAGTTGCAGAATTGCAGCACCTGGGATATATGCAGAGGGAGCATTGTGAAAAAACTTCAAGCATACCAGTTTTGAGTCTGTCCAGAGGGTATTTGTCTTCGGTGACGTTTCATCGTGAACGTTGTTGCTTCCTGCATTAAGGAGGAAAGAGGCAGTGATTTGGCTTTTCAGGGAATATGAAGTTTAGGTAGCTCCCTGCAAAAAAGTTTTATGTCTTTTTACGTGCTTGAGTCCCACGTATTTTCTGTTATTTGCAAGGGATATGTATTACTTCTAATAAAGTAATAACTCAAACTTCCTGACAAGACGTGCAATAATTTTGATTCTTCTTCTTAACTATTCCTTCTCTGCTAGCGCTAGAAATACAACCACTTAACTTTCTTGGTAGCTGACTGAGGTTAAAAGCCAGTAACTCTTTTCCCTCATCTGCAGAACCTGAACTTCACTGGCTTCCGCAAGATCTTGAAGAAGCATGACAAGAACCTGGAGACAGCGCGGGGAGCAGAATGGCGCGTGGCCGAGGTGGAGGTGGCACCCTTCTACACCTGCAAGAAGATCAACCAGCTTATCTCGGAAACAGAGGTAAAGATGCTAGTCTGGGCACTGCTCCTCTTTGAACTAGAGAATGATGTTTTCTTGTTCACTACTGACTCCTACAATGTTTCATCCTCTCTCTAGCTTGTATTCACCACCAAGACAACTATTCATTGATTTTAAAATGCCACTGATTTCTGGCATTGCTTACATAAATTTGAGTATCAGCTGGTAATGTTTCACTCTGAAAAGCTAGTGCAGGGTTAGCTTGTATTGTGTAATAAGTCAGCGCAGCATCGTGAGCTTTTCATATCTTTGTTACCATGTATTAGAAGAGCATTGGGCCAGGGCTTAAATGTAATTGGAAATCAACCATTATTTTTGGTTTTAATGCAGTAAATTATGCTTATCATGAGAATGAACTTGTGATGTATATCTTTATCTCCTTAGGAAGTGGTGACCAATGAGTTAGAAGATGGAGACAGACAGAAGGCTATGAAACGTTTGCGTGTTCCACCCTTAGGAGCAGCTCAGGTGAGAGATCGAGTTATATAGCAGAGCTGCTTCTCCAACTTGTCAAGGTGCCAAATTAGATTCAACATCTGAACAAAGTAGTGGAAATAATTGATGTGGGCATGCTGCATAAATTGTGGGGGAGGAATGGCCACATAATCTGCTTTAGTTCCGGAAGACCTGGAAGTATCTTACTTGTCCTAGTGCATGTAGACAAGGTAATGAAGGGATGAGATAAATAGTAAAAGGAAATTTCTGCTAATAATTACATACGCTTAGTGTTTGTGTGGTCTGGAATATTTTTCAAAGGGCGTTGAGATTCCCAAGCTCTGTTTCAACACAGCAACAACATAGGCAAGAATACTATGCAGCGGTTTCAGTTTAAAAAAAAACCTCACTTCAAGACCAAGAGTTCAATCAGAGATCAGAAAATTGTATCCCTGATTATAAATTTACTCTGCAAATTAATCTGACTTTGCTGATAATGTATTTACCCCACCTTAATTCCACTGTTGCTTTGTTCACAGCCTGTACCAGCCTGGACTACATTCAGGGTTGGATTGTTCTGTGGGTTGTTCATTGCACTGAACGTCACTGTTATACTTTCAGGTGGGTACCCTCGGCTGGGCCCGGCTGGCTGCAGTACCTTGGTTCAGATATGTTCTTGTCACTTAGAGAGCTCCTGGGTCTCAGCTGGGTTGGTCAGGGTGTTCTGGGTTAAATCAGCCTGAGTCAGATCACACTGTTGTGAATTACTAGTCCTGCTCAGGAATAGGCTGTGGTTTTTCTCATGTTAGATACGCGGGTTTTGGACTTTGAATACGTTATGGTTTGTTCTCCTGGTTTCCCCCTTATTCTCGGAGGGATACTCTGGAGGTGCAACATCAGTGTATAAAGACAGATTTCCGTTATCGTTCTGTGAACACAGAGCCCTCACCCACCTTCAGAGAGGTACTTGTAGAACTTCAGTTTTATATGGTACTGACTCCCTACAGATCACGAGACCGGAGCGAGCCATGTGAGCATGATGCTACTCGGGACATTTTCATGTAGAAGTTTCTAGGATTTCAATGCCTGGTGCCTATTAATGTAATTAATCGAATTTTTCTTGTTGGCAGATTTTGGCGAGATTGTTTAAAAGCTACAGTAAATTATTGCATATCTCAGGCCTTGGTTTTATTCTGCTTTGAGCCTTCTGAGTTTGGACTCCGATTAGAGTAAAAGCCATGTTAGTACTGTAGATTCAGATACAGTGCTTAATCACAAATAGCTTTACTAATTGTGTGTGTGATTTCAGTAGTGTTGTAACTTGCTTAAGCAGTACAAAGGAAAAGGCTTAACAAATCAACGTATGAGCTCTTGCATTAGGGAAAACTCATGTCTGTGTTTTGGACTTAAAAGAATTTTTAATCAGATGTTTCTGTAATTGGATCCAGTCATCTCTTGGGATAAAATTTCTCTGTTTGGGAAGCTGTTTGTGGTGCTTCTCATTTGGTCTTCCTATGGTAGAGGCAGAAAGTTGACCCGTTTGTGTGAAGGGTCCGTTTAATGTGTAGAAACTGTTCTTTATTCATCATATCTTTTTTTTTTTTTCTGTTACTTACATGTTTGATCTCTGTGTGAGATGCAAATATGATCAAAGCCAATTGTGTTTGCTTTATCTCTCAGCATTAAGAATGGACACGGTTGTGAGAATTAATTCATAAAAATTATTATATCTCCAAAACAGATGTTACTAACCTAGTGTGAATGATAGGTATGTTTGTATCAGCAGACGTGATCTGATCCCTGTATGCCACTTCAGATACTGCAAAGTGTTTGTTTTTAATTGGCTATTACTTTGCTGACCTGCAAGTGTTTGTTTTTAATTGGCCATTACTTTGCTGACCTCTCTGCTACTTTTGCTAAATTGTTTTTATGATTTGATTCACTAAGACAGGATTTTAGTGCTGTATGTGTAGAATCTGTGAAGCAGCATTAGAATGTGACTTCTTATAGTAAACTGCTTCTGTATTGCCTGATATTAAAACTAGAAGGGCAACATTTTACAGAGATGAGTTCATAATAACTTGGGGTCTGTTAAAAGGCTGCAAATGCTACAGGAACATCTTCATCTCTACTCACCTTGTTCAGAGCCTGTGCTTGCTGAATGCGTGAGTTGATAGAGTGTCACGTTTCTGCTGACTCTGGGAAATGACTTCACTTGTATTGGATTTAAGTGGAAACAGTATATGAATGGAAAATTTCTCTGCCCTGGGGCTGTAGTACAGAGCCCTGGACTGGGTTGTGCCAATCTGAGACCTCCTACACCTTTGCTGGGCACTTCCCTGCAAACAGGGTCCTTGAGGGTCTTCAGTCAACCTGCTTGGCTGTAGTGAAGAAAATGGTTCAGTCAAGAAATATGAAAAGGGAGTAAAATCTGGCCTTTACACTGTGGAAGCTAAACTAGGTGTAGGGTCTTAGTCTTAGAGGAGAGAATACACAGAGGCACTCTCAGCTTCTGTGTGCCTGTATCTCAGCTGCTTGTACTGTTCAGTATCTGCATTTTCTCCAGAGCCAGCTGCTGTTCCACACTGCAATAATGGCCCTCTACCACCCTGAGAGTCCAGAAATAAGATTAGTGGGCATTAGCTGTGGAAGTCATATGCTATACTGTCATCCTGAACTGTGTTCACCTCAGGATAAACCTTTGTCTGAGTGTCCTGTCTCAAATAGCACACGACGCATCTGTCCTATTCTGTCTGGTCATTTCTTATTCAGTACTTTTGGGGCTACTCTGTAGCACCTCCCTTGGTTTTATTTGCAGATGTTTCAGATTAAAATTTGAAATGCTGCTTTTGCAATTCCATATTTAAGACTCATTTCTTTCAGCTTCTTCGGGGTGTTTGTCACTTTTGTCCAAAATTTTGCTCTCTTTTGCCTAAATCCAATAGTCTCCAAGTTTTAAATTTAAAGAACAAGTTTTAGAGTCATTGTTCCTTGTGCATTTTTCCTCTGTAATTTTATGTAGTATAAAGTACAGGTGCTAAACACCACATAAAACTTCTTATGGATATGCTTTCTCTGAAGAAACGTTTGAAACACTTGGGGCCATAATTAAGACAGGAATGTTTGTGGGAATAAATTCTCAGCATCAATTCTGTAAAGCTGCATGTTCTTTTTTCCCCTCTTAAAAAGCATATGGGTAAGAAACACTCAATGAAACTGAAATTGAGGATTCAAATAACTGTATTTTATTTGTGCTTTTCTCGTAAAACCTGGATTGGGCAACCTAGGGACAGTACTTTGCCAAGAGACTTGTGCTAGGGTAAGCTGCTGCTGTATAAGGCAGCTTGTTTGAAATTAAACAAATTTGTTTCCAAAACCCTGAAGACTGAACAAGGGAAGCAAGAGGCTTTCCAGTATTGCTGCCTTACGCTGGGTTTTCTGTTTGGGTGCGGCTGGATATTCTACTGTGTTATGAATATGTATTGCATTACAGTTGCATTGAGTTCAGTGATTAGGCGCAGTTTAGCATTGTTTTAAATGCTGTAAATGGTGGTGCTTGCTTTTGTGGGGAGCTGAAGTATTTGTGTATCTGTCTGTTGGGATTTCATCTCCATTAAATCAGAACATTTAATTGCATATAGTCACGATTTATGCTAGTGCTGTCCCTTGTGCCTGTAGCGTGAGACAGTGGACTTAAGATGCCGCTAATGACCCAACTACACCAGCTAGAGAGTGAATTTTCCCCTAAATACTCCTAAATCCTCAGCCAGGCTAGGCAAAAAGTCCTTCTCTTGCTGGAATATGAGGGTATGTAGGAGCGTACGCTGTTTTCATGGGGTGCAGCTGAACGTCTGAGAACCACCATAAAGCGGTGGAGCACAGCTTTGCTTTGTGATGTGACTTGTGCTGTCGCTAAGGTTGTTTCATTTTTGTCTTTGCCAGGTGTGGCTTTTATAGATGGACCAAATGTGTGGCCACTGGTGAGAATCTATCGAGGTGGCTTTCTCCTGATAGAATTCCTCTTTCTCCTGGGTATCAACACATATGGCTGGAGACAGGCTGGCGTGAATCATGTCCTCATCTTCGAACTCAATCCCCGCAGCAACTTGTCCCATCAACATCTCTTTGAGGTAAACAGAGCAGACTGTAGGAGTGGTTGAGCTGTGCGGCGTATCAGGAGGATAAATCCTGCACCGTTTCCTGGCAAAGAGATCTAATACAATTAGAGGAGGAAGTTGCTGAAGTCTGATTAGATTACAGGATTGAACACTGCTCTCCCTTTCCTTATAATGAGACTTCATTGTATGTTTCGGAGCTGTATTTTCATAAGGTATCTACGTGTTTTTTCTATCTCTCTGTAGATTGCTGGTTTCCTGGGGGTTTTGTGGTGCCTGAGCCTGCTGGCATGTATATATGGTAAATTCACCTACATCCCTATGCAGGTGAATCCACTCATCTTGTACGGCTTCATGTTGCTTTTTCTCATCAACCCTACCAAAACCTTGTATTACAAGTCCCGTTTTTGGCTGCTCAAACTATTGGTAAGTCTCAAACCTGATTTAAATAAACTTTAAAAAAAAAATGCAGTAGCTGAGCAATAGCAGTGAAGTATATACAGGCATCACTAATCTTCAGGAAAGGGGGTACTTTTACCACTGTGTATTCACAGAGCAAACCTGTTAAGGTATTGACTGCAAGTGGTTGTTGAGCATGGGTTTACAGAAGCAACTTCTGCTTGTCTGTACCAGTCTGTCATTACCTTTGTATTGCAGGTAGCTGCTTGTTAATCTTCCTATAAACAGCTGTATGTATACTTTTGCACATATAGAAACACTTGGCTATCTCGGCTTGTTTGTTGCTTAATGTAGCAGAACAATTTGATTAGCGTTACAGTGCTCTAAGGCAAGGCTGCGTGGATGCTCCTCAGCCCAAACTGGGTGAGTGCCAACACTGAGAAGGTTCACTGATGGAGAAGGGGACCTTTGCAAAGGTTACTGCTTATAAAATTATGTTCATGGGTGAGGGTTTTTTCAGCAAATTGGTTGGTGGTCTTAAACTGTTTATTTTAGACCCAGCTCCTATTTTCCAGGTAAGATAAATCTGGTAAATTGAATATAAATATGCGTGCTACTTCAGTGTTCCAATTCTAGGTGGGTGCTCCAAAAGAACAGTTTTCAAACTTGTTGGATGACTCATCAGTTTCTTCCCCAAATGGCTGTCTCACACGTTCATCCCCACCCTGTATGCCCTTTTAAATTGACTTTAATCAAGTTGGTTCCCTCGATACCTTATTCTTGCTGGAACTGCTCTGAGAATGTTGGGCGGAAGAGGGTTTGGCTGGCTGATGTTATTCGTAGAATCATTTTAATGCCAATTAAAACAATTAACTTTATCTGGAACATGACAAAGGTGAAATGTAGAATCATGCTTCAAGCATGTGCGTGCAGGTATACACGCAGCTAGTTAACCTCTATGCACTTACCTCTGTTATTTGATTTGCTAGCTTACTACTATTTCAGTTTCTTCCTTTTTTTGCCTTCCAGCATTCAGCCATCTCTCACAGATAGAGCTTTAGTCCCAAGCCTCATTAATCTTACCGCTGTCCCCTGGTGCTAGGGGGAGCCCTGGAAGTGGTCTAACCATGTGAGCTGTATCTGTGCTAATTTACCTTAATATGTTAACAGGGTAAGAGTCTCAGTCTTCACAGAGCTCTCAGGCAGTTTCCAGTACCTGCTCTATCCCAGCTATCTCTAGACTACGCCGCAGCCTGCGATACAGGCATACTTTTGAGTGTGCACAGGCCAATTCATCCCAAGGTCTCCTGGGGAAAAAAGCTTCATCAAAATGCAAGATCACCTTAATGGTGGAAAATGACACAGTACTTCTGACTGCCTGTTGTGCGGAAGGGGGAAGGGGAAAAAAGAGGCCAGACAAACCACATAAAGAGTAGCTGTTAGGCTTTTCTAATTTTTGTGTGTAATTGGCTGGCTGGATTTTATTTCTCCACACAGTCGCCAGCAGCTATCAGGGTGTGAAAGGAAGTTTAAATAGCCCTCTCAGAGCGGAGCTGTTTGGTTAGTGTTTTTCTTCACATGCTTTGAGATGTTCCGTTTCCAGCCAAAATGAAGCCTGACATATTGGGTGTAGCGGAGCATCACTGGCACCTTCAATTTTTCTACCACCAAATCAGGAGCATACTTCAGTGTGTTGTAGTATTTCTTGATGGATCTAGGAGGCTTACTGCATCCACCCGTGCTCATCAACAACTGCTTGTTGGTACTCATGAGAGGGATCTCTTTTGATAATCCCTGAGGGACTGCCGATTACATCTGAATTGATCTTCCTCTGAGTGAAAACAGTTATTTAGCCTGTAGTAAGTTTAATTCCATGCCAGGCTCTTCTTTCTTGCCTGCATGCTTAGGTGAGCATTTTTTGCCCCTTTGGTGCTGCAGAAGAAGCCCAGGAGTGTCCTTGTGTAGGCTGAGGAGAGCAGCTCGCCAGAGGAATTGGATCTGAGCACAGGGAATGGCACAGCGTCTGCGTGCCCACGCGCTCTGCAGGGTGCCGAAATGGTGAAACAACTGCAGGGAGCCTGTCTGTGAGAGGTGAAAATCTAGGAAGTGTTTAGCTCCAACTCAAATATCCACCATCTGAGCAGTTATTAAAACCGCAGTAATCAACACCAGGAAGTCTGTGCTCAGACTGTGGAACAGTTGATATAGAATCGCAACTGAGGACTTGAAACTGATGTTCCAACTCCAACTTCTGGTATTTTATGAGTTTATTCTTGCGGCCCATCTTCTCCAGAGGATGTTGCAGACCTTTCTCAGCTGGGAAGTGAGGAGTTGCCTGTGATACCTGCCAGAGGCAGTGCCTCCCCTCCACTGCCAGCACCCTCTGGTAGCTGGGCTGACCTCCGGCTGTGCCCGGGCAGCATGTGGCAGCAGTCAGAAACCAGTGCCTGACCTGTGGGTTAGGGGGGGTTCAAATGGCAGCTCACATTCTTGAGGATCGTTGACTGAGATGCCAGTGCCTTAGCTAGGTTGTGGCTATATCTGCTGACTCCTCATCTGCTGCAAGCTTTAGGTGGAAAGATTCTATTCTCTTCTACTCTCTTAAAAGTTATATGCTGTTATCTGGCAGTGCCTAGGTGTCTCTTCTTAAGTTAACGTCGTGACTTCAGCTCAGAAGGCAACTGAGCACCATGCAGCTGCTCACTTCCCCCTTCCTGCCCCCAGCGCTGGGAAGGAGGAAATAAGCAAAGGCCCAGGATTTGAGATAGGACAGGGAGGGATGAATTCGCCCATTAAGGTGTCACGGGCAAAAGACAGACTTGTTAGGGGAAGAAAAAACTCATAAGTTTAATGCAGACACTAACAACAACACTTAGCAGGCAGAGTAGGACAGTGAGAAGCATTACTACATCCTAAAAACCCCTCTCCCCAGCCCTCCCTTCTTCCTGGGCCCAGCTTTGCTCCCAATGTCTCTACCTCATCCCCCCAGCAGAGCAGGGGCAGGAGATGGGGGTGGGGGTGCAGTCAGTGCTGCAGCTTCTTCCCTCTTAGGGGGGATGGAACTTCTGGAACTTCTTCCCCTGCTCCAGCATGGTCCTCCTCTCGCAGGAGACAGTCCTCCACAAACTGGAGGGGTGTCTCTCCTGCGGCACACCTCCCTCACCCCTTTCCTCCTCCGTTCTTCCACTGACCTTGGTCTTCCCATAGTAGTAGCAACTCCTCAGAACTCTTACTCCTCCTCCCAGGTCCCCTTCTTAAATATGTTACCGCAGAGGTGCAGCTAATTGGCTCACCCTTGGTGCAGATGTGGGTCCAACTTGGAGCTGGAGGAGCTTCGAGAATCTTCTCACAGGGACCATCACTGTAGCCCCCTCCCTTGCTACCAAAAACCCTACCACCCACTCAAACCCAGGGCAATTCAATAACAACATGGATTTTATTAATTTCTTCTTTTTTTTCAAGGGGATCTATCTGTAAAACTGTTTTCACCTTTCATTTGTTTTATTTCACCTTTACGGGGAAAAAAAAAAAGAGGTCTGTGATGAAAGTGGTAAAGATATTATCGGGGAGCGCTGGTAAAATGGAGGAAGGACCTTTTGAAAAGGAAGGCTGGTGTTGCTTCTCTGGAAGGCTGTGAGGACAGACCTCTCTGTTTGAGCCTTTGTAATAGGCACCGTCCTACGTGAGCACAGGGCTTTCTGGGTCAAGATCCATATCTGCTTTATGCCAATAAGTCTTAATCCCCGATTTGGCTTTGAAATTTAGGACCAGAGTCTTAAATTGGCGTTACAAGCTGACGGGAATGTGTCGGTCCTTTCCTGGGTTTCTGTAACTGTGTACCCTTTAGGTTAATAAGGAAGGCAATATAGAAGATAGTGTTAGCCTGTGCTTTCATTAATGTAAAGGTTCATAAATCTCTGAACTGCTGGATAGTGCTGCTGCTGTCTCTTTGAGAAATTGGCAGTTAGTAACTATAACTAACCGGGTAGAGAGAGTTGTAATCAAAGGTAATGGACCATGAAAATTGTCTGGTTTGAAAGTAGCAAAACTGCTGTTAAGGCTTAGAGGGAAAGTGGACTGGGATTGAAGGGGAGTCTAACTGACAGTCAATAGGATTTAACTCTTTCTCTGCTAAAGGCTTTGGCAGATCCAGCAGTGATAATCATCACTGTTACAACTAATGCGTTAAGTAAACTGAGCCATCATCAGAGTAATGGCCATGCTGAGGGTCTGTAATCTAGCTGACATTGTCTGAGGGAGAAGGTAAGTGTGGGAGATGTCAGTAGACATGACATAAATGCCTGAAAGAAGGTGCTAGTCAAAATGAGGAGCAGCAGGAGAAATGGAGCTGTGCAGAGCTCTTACACGGAGACTGAGAGCTTCTGGGAAAGAGCTTGGTTGGAGGAGACTGGCCTCTTCTACCAGTAAAAAAACAAAGAGGTGGGGGAGCATGAATAGTTGCATACAGGAGGAGGAAAGCAGGGCTGTTATTTGTACTAAAAGTGAAGAGATAGTTATCTTCTTTTTTTTTGTCAGCAGGAGTGAAAGATCAGCAATAAATCTTCAAGCGTTTCTCATGTTTCCATATTTGTTCAATGCTGTGATGTCCTGCCACTGCATTTAGATGTCTTTGACACTATGTCATGAATTATTCCTTTTTTTTTTTTTTTTCCCCCGACAGTTTCGAGTGTTCACTGCTCCCTTCCACAAGGTAGGCTTCGCAGATTTCTGGCTGGCTGATCAGCTCAACAGCCTGGTCGTGATACTCATGGATCTGGAATACATGATCTGCTTCTACAGCTTTGAGGTTCAGTGGGAGGACAATGCTGGACTTCTGGCAAATACAGGTAGAGTAATGCTGGCAACCCATGCGAACGTGGTCAAAATGACCTGAAAAACACGGAGCAAGGCAACTTCCTAATCATCTCTCTGTTTAGAAGAGGGCTACCAATGTCATAGGAAATGAAATAATTGGTGTTTCTTGTAAACACAGCATTAGAGAGATTCTGCCCTTTCTTACTTCCATCCAGAGAAATGGAATTTCAGATCTGTGTTCATTTCCTAATCCAGTCATTTGGCCTGACGTGTATATTCATCAAAGAATTTAGACACAGCCCTTCTTGATTGGAAAGAGAGAAATCCATTTTCCTGGCATTGTTGTTTTATTTCAAAGTGGTTTAACCATGTATTTGCTTTTAGCCTGTTCTGTTGCTCAGCATGAAAATGAGTTGCATGAGCTTGTTAACCTCAGTTTTCTGTGCTGTAGCCTGCTGCTTCCAGGCTCCATCACAGTACCCTAAAGCAAGAGAGGATGGGGAAACATCCTCAGAGCTTGTTAGTGCCACCCCTTATTCAATCAGAGTTGATGCTGTGATGCCAGGGTTGTGCGTGCTCTGCTGCTTCCCTCCTTTCTAGCCAGAAGAGCCGTAGAGTTGGCATATGAATTTTGACTTTGGCCTTCCCAGTGGCAAAACAGTACCTGTCTCTTCCTGGATCAGGCTGCTGTCTTTCCATTTTAAGCAGTGACTGCTGGCAAACCGTGTTGTCTGATGGTTTTGACACTTGCTGAAAGAATTTGCAGTATGCTTCAATAAGCATCAGTGTTCACTTTGTTCTTCCAATCTGTCTGATCCTTCTCTTCCCTTTAAGACAGTGTTGCAAGTAACTAAATGTTTATTTGTTAAAAATAAAAATAAAATAAATAAAGCAAGTGAGTGGATAACGACTTGTCCTCTTCCAATCCAAACAGTGGAACGATAGTGCAGGCACTTTGGAATAAATATCAGCTAATAACTTGTCTCCATTAGTCTGAATAAGAAACAAACGTTTGTTAGTCGATGGGGTGTTTGGTTTAGATGTGCTGAGCGAGACAGCGTAAGAGTGCGGCATGCTTGGGGGTTCCAGGCCAAGCTGGGATTTTCCTGGTCGTTTTCTCAATTAATAAAAAGGCTTTCAAACATCAAGGGTGTGATATGATGTCATGTTGGTGTAGTTGCCTCTCACCCCGGTTGTTGAAGCCAGGGCTGTGCTCTGGCTTTGCCTTTTAAAAACAAAACAAAACAAGAACCAAAAAAAAAAAAAACCTCCAAAAAACCCCCAAACGCATACTGAAATGTTTTGTCCTACTACAGTGTAGAAGAAAAATGGGTCAAGGACATCTTAGGCAAAGTAGCCTTTTTGAGCTGTCCTGCAGAGTTGGGAAATGCTCTCCCATTTATGCACAAACATTCAGTGTCGAAAGGGCTTTTGTAATTCCATCCTTAATTTGATTATTCACAGTACTGCCAACAGCACAAAATAAATTTAAAAATAGATTCTTTCTAATCTTCTTGCACGTTAATTACACTGGCAGCAGTGAAAGAGTTAGATGATGATCTATCTGGATGTGTTATTGATGGCATGTCACCTGAATATCTCTGAGATGGAGTAAAGGGCTTCAGGATACTTTCTGGTGATGAGCTGCTTGCTGTTGCGGATGTGTGTGTGCCTGCGTAGGAGACATTGATGGGGATTTGCTCTTCTGTCAAGTGATATTACTCTTACAGAAAGGAAGACGATAAGAGTTCTTAAACTGACTACCTCTTTGTCCCTGAAACTTTTTTCTTGCAGATAATCAGATTTGTTACAGCTACTCCTACGGAGTGAGAGCAGTTGTCCAGTGCATCCCCGCTTGGTTGCGATTCATCCAGTGCCTGCGCCGTTACCGTGATAACAAACGGGCCTTTCATCTGGTTAATGCTGGAAAATATTCCACCACCTTCTTCGTGGTGACATTTGCAGCCCTCTACAGCACTCACAAAGGTATTGGTTATTTTGGAAAATCCTTTGCAAGTCATGGGATTTGCTTTTTACGCAGGAGAAGCTCAGAATTTGGCATCCCATTGAAGCATGAACTTTTGTCTTTTGGCACCTGTGAAACATCTCAGTGGAAAGGCAAAGGCCTGCCTAGCTTGCAAAGAGTATTTTAGGATCTTCTTTTAGGCATTTTTCACATACCTGTTCTGCTCAGAACTGCACTTCTGGAGAGTGAGAGAGAATTTTCCTGTTCCTCTCCTGAAAGGAGAAAACTGAAATACCTGTCAGTTTTTGCTGTGAAGGGAGGATGTATGAGAAAAGGGGTAATGCAGGAAATGCTTCTCCCGTGGCATTCACGAATAGCTAACCTGGATCATCTAAATAAAGTTGGTTTGTCATTCCGGAATGTGGGGAGATGTGCACAGTGCCGGGAAAATGCCGTCTCTGGATTTTCCTGTGTATTTTTATCCATGTTTTTTCTGCAGCTGGTAGGGAGTTGTTTCCAATCCATTTAACTGCAGATTGAGCTCTGATCCCTGAAGTTCCCCATCTCCCTGGAAACGACAATTACTCGATTCTGCTCTTGTTCCGAGGGAAAAAGCTTTTAGTTTCTGCACTTCAGGCAGTCGCCCTTGCCTTTCATTGTTCTGAAGTCCTAAAAGCTGTATTCTTTTATTTGAAAATGTATGCCTTCTATATCTCTAGAAATTTGCAACCGCACACGCTCACGAGCAATTACTTATCCTGAAATATGATTGTGGCGGAGCAGGGAGAAGTGTTCAAGGCAGGCTTCTAGTTAACGTGCTGGCTTTTTGGAAGGGTGGCAGGGTTTTTGGAAACCTTCCTGTGGGCAAGGCATGGCTGTTTTGACGTCTCTGGGCCTGAAGTCACGCCGATACTGTTTCTCAAGCCTTGCATTTTAAGGGCAGAGAGGTGCATTTGGTGCGGGCAGGCTGAAGGCTGGAAGTCGGGCGCTCTGTCTCTGGAGGTACACGCGAAGCTGGTGTGGGAGCACCAGTGGTGGATGCAGTGCGTGGCCCCTCCGCGCGTCTCCTTCCCGCTGCCGTGTCCCCGGAGCTTGTTCCCGTTTTAACTTGTTTGCTCAGTGACATTCTGCAGCTCTTCTGTTCCAGCCCTGCAGTCCAGTTAGTCACCGCCGCCAAAGCCCGAGAGGAGACAAATGCAGATTGCCTGGCTGTAGTCACTGCGTGTATGTGTCTATATACAGCGCCTGCTTTGGGGAGGCTGACTAACGTTTCTCCTTCCCAGGAGGCAGAGCCTTCTGTGGGAAGGTTAGGGTAGGTTTGGAACCAAGAGGAAAACCAGCATCTGTCAAAATGTCCTGCTGAAGAATTTGACCTCTTTCCACTCCCCTTGAAATTTGCATCTGTGCCAGTACCCTGACCCCTGTTTTCATTGCTGCCATACATAACTGTTGTCTGCTCTTCAAGTCTGGCAGGGAGTGGGTTGTAACGAGGTGTTTACGAGCCAGGCATGGGGCTTGTTCCAATTGCTGAGAGAGATTCCTGACTCCCAGCTTTTGTCTGTCCAGTTTTGTTAGTGGGAGTCAATAGCACATGGTTGTTGGTAATGTACCAAAAAAAATTTGGAATCTTCGTGGCCTTTGGAAATTACATGTTAGCACAGATTTTGTAAATGTCACCGTGCCTGGGCTTGTAGCACTTTTTCACAGGGATGCCTAAAGACCTTGCCGTGTCTTCTCATCCTGCCATAAATGCACTTTCTAATATGCTGTACCTGTTAGGAATCCAGTTTGTCTATGTGCTTAACATAGATTCCCAGTTCTTTTTGAACTTGGAGTCAGATGGTCTACCATCAAGTTGGTAAAGATCCTTGCTCCTTGGACCCGCTCTGAATTGCAGTAAGTAACGAACCTCTTAATTGCTGTGGTAACAAGAGTTTTATTTAAACAGTCTTTCCTGCCTGTGTTTGCAAGGCTATGACTTATACCTCTGGAATGACAGCTTTTGGCAGCCAGGACAAGAGGGTGATTGGTGGCCTTTTCTTGGGAGGTCAAGTAATTTACACCAGCTCCTGTTCTCTACTTGGGAGTCCTGGGGACATCGAAGCCCTCTGAAAAGGCTTGTCTTCCTCCCTTGGTTTGAACACTGAATAGTTGGTAGCTGGTCTGTAGGTTTTTAGCTTGCATCTGCCAGCTGTGGGAAGGTGGACTGTGCGTCTAGGAGGGTCTGTTGGTGTTGAAAGCCAGCTAATTCATACAGGGTGCACTTACAGCGTTCTTGTGCTGTGTTTTTGTACGCTTGCTGGAAAACAGCTCACACTAAACGAATGTACAAGTGCTGCCTTATTATGTTTAAGTGATGTATGCTGCTTCTAGTCATACATGGCTCTTCCTTCTCCAAACCTCCTGCAGTGAAGGATGCCCCCCAGTAACACAGTGTACTGTGGGCTCGTGATGAGTATCTCAGTTTCCCCAAAATACCACTGTTTAATAATTCATATTGCTCAGGCAGCGGATAAATCTGATTCTTTCTTCCCCCAGAGAAACCATTTCTTTACTTTTCTTCCTATTTAGATGCAGAGTGCAATTTTCTCTGCTAATTGCAGTTGGGATGTTAGACCGGTACGATATCAAAGTAAATTCTGTTAGGTTTTCTCTCCCAGACTTGCAATCCTGTTGCCCTGGGACTAGACTAGCTTTGCAGCGTTAACTCCAAGCTATCGTCCTGATACTTAGATATCATCTGAATTAGCGAAGCTGGCGTGAGAGTAGCTACCCCATAAGATGAGCCTGGAGCAGGCAGAGGTTGAGTGGCCGAGCGCGGACACAAGCCACCCGCTTCACCACGGCTCAGAAACGCAACCAGATTTCAGGGGCGACAGCAGCGACCCAAGGGCAGCTGTTGCCGAGCTCCCGAAGGAAGAATCCTCAGTATTTTTATATCGCTCAGAGGAATGGGAAGCAAAGGCCGCGTTCTGTAAATATAGTCCCGTGGGGTGTGTTTGCACAGGCAAATGAGGCGTATCTGTAACTCTAAGCTACCTAGCAACTGGAGCGTGCGCCGCCGGTCCCTGCCCGCTCGCAGCACGGCCGAGCAGGAGGCTCAGCCCCCGGCTCGTTCCTTGCTTTGCAACTAAGGAGCTCAGCGCTGGCATTAACTTCCCTGGCAGTGCCGAGTAGCTTTCCCTAGAGCTAGCCAAACTGAGTTTTAAATTGCCTTATTTAATCCCTGCGGACACCTACGTGGTGCTGGGGAAGCAAATGATTAAGCTCGAGTCTGCAGCAGAATATTCACCCTAAGTGCAGCGTTATTTTGACACACCACTACTTTTTGCAGCGTTTTCCCTCTGCCGAAAGCAGATGTGCTTTCCTTGACAAATGCTCCAGTATAGCTGCTTCCACTTCAGTCCGGCTTCCAGCTTGTCATAGCATTCCACGGGGAGCCCCTCTTGCATAAAGTGTACTTGCATTTAAGAAGGTACACTGACATTCCTAGAACAGCCAGCCTTGGTTTCCTTCCTCACTCAGACCTGGCTGGGGCTTTGTAAGATACGTTTATTATATTCAGGTGTTCAGCTCATATGAGAAACGGTTCAGCTGGAGTTGCCTTGTGCTACTCTGAGAATGCCGGTTGCTCCTTAAGCTTTGTGCATGACTTATGCTCCAACTTTATTCTTTGTAATATGAGACACGTCTTGGTTTTGCTACCGTCTGTCAATTTTCTCTTACCTTGGTGTCTTCTGCGCACGTGGTGTCACTGGAAATATTTGGCTCACATAGAATATAGATTTGGCTTCTGTCCTTGAAGAACTGAGCTTCCTGAGTGCTTTGTACTCTTCCATCATTTTCTTGTTTTGTAGGATTTGCTGTTTCAGCGTGGGCAGTTGCGTGTTTACCTTGTTTTTTTTCGGGGATACGTTTCTGAGCTTAAGCACAAGCACTGGGTTAAAACTGGCCGTGTGGGATTTTATCCCTTAAAAGAAAGGAAAGGTGGTTTGTGCAAGTCTGCATGATCAGTTTGATTTACACACCTTCTTCAATTAAATCCTCGTGGTCTGGGTAGTATCCAGCTATTTATTAACCTCTGAATTACTCCAAAGTTAATCCATGTGGCCTGGAAACTTGAGTAAGCGGCTCTTCTTCCATACCGCTCCCACGCCCTTTCCAGGTATTCCAAATAAGACTGCTGAACACTAGCTGTCATCGGCTTGGAAGTGCCGTGGAGAGCCGTAGGTCGGTCTGAGATAATGTAACTGCCACTCACTTTCTCATTAAACAACCCAGAAAATTGACAGTAATTAAAAATACGGAAGTTAACTAAATAGGGCTGTCTCTAAAGGGTAGTGCTTCTGTCTGTGTTCCCATCATTGCTTCAGAAATGGGCTCCTCCAGTGAAATGATGTGTAATTTGTTTGGGTTTGTTTGTTGTTGTTGTTTTTTTTTTTTTTTTTTAAAGCAAAAACTGTGATACCCCTTGCTTTGCCAAGAAATAGAGACGTGAACCGTCAAGGCACGAGTCATCCTTCGATTAACGGGCTTTTGCAGGGTGGCGTTGGGCCATCCCTCACTAATAGAGCGGCTCAGCCAGGTCTGACCAGATGAAGATGAATGGGAAACGTGCTGCTTTTTGAAAACACGGTGGAAGATTCCCAGGTCTGGTAACTGCTGCCCACCCACCCACCCCTCATTAATCACGGTGGCTTGGGCTGTTCGCGGCGGTGATGCTGGAAGGGGCGGCTGGGTCTCAGCTCCCCTGGGGAGGGGTGCGCCTTTCCAGGTGAAGGATGGTGATGCAGAGCGGGGAGGGGGGAGAGGGCGGTGGTAACCTCAAACTCTTGCTGCACCGGGAGCTGCGGGAGGATGCCTGACTGCACCTTAGCTCTGCTCTTCTCTGCCGCCTGAAGTTCTGGGTGGTGGGTGGTGACACCGAGCCCTTGTTGCTGCTGTGTTAGAAACCGCAGGGTGCAACCCCTGCGGGGTGAGTTTGCTGGCAGGTGGGACAATAATCAGCCGTGGTCCTAAA